AGTTTCGTATCGAGAGGACGAGGAGGGTCAGGGACAAGGTATTGGACGGGGTCCAGCATCGGCATGCCAACTCTTCACCTACCGTGCGCCTCGATGAACATCGCCCAGCAACCCCAGAAAGCCTGAGTGCTGCCGGAACGGTGTTCCTCCGCGGCCGCCCCTTCCACCCGCCAATTTTCCACCCGTCGTTCCATCATCCACGAAAATCCATTTTCGTTCTGACCTTTGAACTTGGACAGAGACTCCTCGTATCCGTGCTGCGACCTCTGTTCACGGTGGTGTTCCGCCACGGTATCGGCCGGATCGAAGCCGAGCCTCTCCTTGTAATAAGCCTGAGTGGACATCTCGTTAACCAGTTAAGCTCGCTACGAATCTTCTTACGAGATTGTTTCGTAACCAGCCAACGACTGAACGACGTCTTCCTCTGTTCATCGGCTCTTTCTTCCTCTCCCTTCTTTCTTCTCTTTCTCGCGTATGCCGTAACGTTCCCTTTTTTTTTTTTCACTATCTCGTTTTCCTTTCGTTCGCCAACATACGTGACGTACACGCACAAAAAACAAAAACACTAACGTTTTTCCTTGTTCCTTTTGCGTGCGGGGCAATGTCACTCTCTCTCTTCTCGTGGATTATAGTTTCGTAGGTTGGAAACACACACTTACTTAAACGGTAGACTTATCTTAATGGAAGGTTTATTATTACGTATGGCACTTCAAGTCGATGGAAGACTCTCGATTCTTCCTTCAAAATTCACTTTTCCCCGTTGTTGCGCTAGCGGCGTGCCTCCCCTCTCGGTTTTCGTTTCTTTCTCGGGTCGGATATTTCGAGGACGCTGGTAGTCGCCTATCACTGTTGGGAAAAAACGATCGAACGATGCGAAAAATCGGATTAGGAAGGAGCTCGAGTCGAGCGTCGCTCGAGGCGTGTGACACCAACGAAGACGCGACACAATGCGGACACCGAGGAGAACGGCTAATTTCGTTTGTCCGTTCGCCCGGTCTCCAGACGCGGAGAACCAAGAAGCTTAACGAATCAACGACCGAATTTATCACGGCACGTCGCAGACGTAACCACTCAACGTTTCTCGGGCAAAGTGGCTCGGTGGAGCATCGCACGAGACGCCACGGTAATCGGTCTTTCGCGGACGTCTAGTTCATCGTTCTCTCTCCGAGGGAACGAAAGAGACTCCCCGACTATATCCGCGCAGACACGATAAATAGAAGAGCACGAGGCAATTTTCGTTACTCTCCCGCTTGACTTTCCCGCGCGACCAATTAAACTGGACGATTCTATTACCGACAGAGAAAGAGAAGAGAGAGAGAGAGAGAGAGGAAACGCGTTACTCGAATCGAGAACAGCGTGGAACGAGAATTACGTGGGATAAAAGTTTGAAAAATGAAAATTATGAAGAACGAAACGAGACGAAACGGGGGCTATTAATCGGAATACGACCGGAGAGGAGAACGGTGGCAAGGATCGAGCACGCGACCGAGTCGGCGATTGTACTAACGAATGAACAACAACTGGCAG